CTCTGTAAAGCACTTTGTGATTTTATCTTGAAAGGTGCTATATAAATAAAATTTTACTTACTTACTTACTTAGGGCTTTCTCTGTCATATTGTATGGTCTCTACCGTACAATAATGTGCCTTGAGGTGACTGCTGTAGTGATTTGTTGCTATATAAATAAAATGGAATACAATTCAAAGACTTGGAGCACTCTAAAAAAAACCCCAGCTGTGCTAGCACTGGTCCAGAGGCGCATCGAGTGAAAATCGGCAAAAATTTAAATCAGATATGGTTTTTAATTTCCCAAATAAAGTCACACGAGTTTCACGAGTTATTTATTTTTTCTCCCACGTGTGGGTACCTCCAGTGAACAGTGGAGGCACAGTCGTTTTGGTGAGCCAGGATGGGATCCAGAGGCCTCCTCTACACTTTCCTAAAGGAGGCCATTTGCTCCAGTTTCTCACATGCTTAGAGACTGGCCTGCTACCTCATGGGCAGCTAGACCCGCCACTCTGGAATCAGAGAGGGAAGGTAAACGGGACACCTCTGCTCAAATAATTTTTCAACATTTCATGCAACAATATTTACTTTACCAATATTTATGATATATTTTCTTCACATACTATTTCCATTTGTAGGGAAAGGTTTTCCCCAAACTGCGAAAGAGAAGTCCACATGATTCATGTGATTCTGTATCAGATAAGGAAGACGATGAAGCAACCGATTATGTGTTTCGGATCCTCTTTCCTGGCAATCAGATGGAGTTCAGTTAGTGCCTTTAATCTTTCTATTCTGCCTCCCTGAGATAATGCAATACAGAATCATCAAAGATTATATCTATAACTGTTCTAATTACTTTATATGTCATTTGACTTCAAACAGTTCACTTTAGATGAATCTGTTTCATCCAGGCATATATTCAGTGTTCGTCTTTGTAATTAAGTCCTTTCTAATGTGAAACTGTTACAGCCATAATATTTTTCCTCCTTGTTTAGTGTCCATGTCTCCATTTCACATTAAAGTCCCATTGACAATAAGGAGTCTTTGCAATTTGTATGCCACATCTGCATCTCCATCCTCTCTCTTGTTTGTTTGTTTTTTTTCACCATGTATTATCAGTTCTTATCATTTTCAGAAATTCATTTTAATATCCAAATCAGTTAGGGCTGCTCCTGGTTTTGCTTGCTTAATTGATTGTGATAATAGGAACAGTAGTAGTAAGGGACACTTTGCTGTGCAGTGGCCCCAGAGCTGATGGATCAGGGTGTTAATATGTGGCAACCAGCCCCCAGGAAGTCCTCCTGCTCCTCCTGCTCACAGAATGGCTCATCTGATGGCTCTCTGCCTAATGGCTGTAACCAAGAAAGGTAAGTATTTCCTATGGTCAGGCTGCAATCACCGTTCTGATTATTCCACCTGACAAAGTCTGAAATATTCTCACTTTACCAGGGCTCCCTTAAAGCTCCTTTGCGACACCATGAAATACCAGATAATCTCCCGTGCGTTCTATGGCTGTGAGTATAATCACATCTTCTTTGTGTTTGCAATTTAGGAATCACTCTGGTTGGGTTGTTCAGCAGATCAATAATTCATTACAGTGGTTGAAAATGAGAAGCCTTATCTCTCCTCTCTAGGGCTTGCATACTGTCGTCATCTGTCCACGGTCCGCACCCACCTCTCCGCATTGGTCAACACCACGATTGTTGACCCCAGCGTACCCTGTGATGCTCGAGGAGGCCTCTCTGTGGAGGTCTGGGGCAACTTCCTCAAAGACAGCTCTGTAAGATTTATACATGAACACCAAGCCATCACACAACGCCTAGTTGTCATTCGTTCCTGTGTGAAATGCCTCCTTTCATTAGTGAGCAATTTCAGTCTGACACAAAAGTAAAAATACTTCCCCTTTCAGGCCTATGAGGAAAAGGAGATACACAGACTGGTGTATTTTGGTGGGGTGGCCCCTTCACTCCGTAAAGAAGTCTGGCCCTTCCTGTTAGGACATTATAAGTTCAGCATGAGTGAGAAATGCCGGCGGGAGGTATTACTCATGTGCTTTAGTATAAAGATATATTCTCATGCCCCGATCTATTCTTTGCCAGTTATTTACACATGCTTATTGCTTCAGATTGATGAGCAAATGCGGTGCATGTATGAGCAGACTATGAAGGAGTGGCAGGGTTGCGAGGCCATTGTCCGTCAGAGGGAGAGAGAGAAACATGCCGAGGCACTCGCCCGATGCTCATCCGGAGCCAGCGTGGAAAGGGGACCCGTGCAGCGGGACTCCACCATCAGTACAGATGCAAGTTTGAACAAACAAAAAAATCCACATTATGTAACACCTACCACCTACTATTTCAAGAGTTGTGAGAAAATAACTTGGCTAACAGTTCTGCTGTTTTTGTCTCATGTGATACTCTGTCTCACTCCAGTCTTCTCTAAGTAGCAACTCAGATCAACAAAATACTCACTCACAGAGCGACTCCAGCAGCAACGCACAGGTAGTCCCTCTCTCATCATCATCTCCATAGCAATGATTTCTGATACGACACCATACCGGGCTTCATTTTTTTCCCAAGCATTAGCCCACTTACTACAACTTATATATGGTTTGCTGTTGTATTCTTGCTTTCCAAAGCATACCTTGTGAATCGCTGAAAGTAACGGCAGCGAAGCTGTTTCTGAGCAGGATTGCGATTTGGTTTAAGGTATTTTGAGGATAAATTGAAGTAAAAGGAATTAAGTTTTTCAAAAGATAATAAGCTAATGGCTCTACATGAAAGGCTTGGATGTCTGTATCAAGTTTCATGGCAGTCCATCAGACGGTTGCTAAAACAATGCCACAGTAACAAGAAAAAACTGGGGGGATAAGTCATTAGGTTTCATCATGTAGGCGATAGTGTTAGTAAGATATTTCAGTCAGGGATTAAATAGTTAACCATCTGGCAGACTGACTTAGTGCCACTGTGCTATGTAGAAAAAAGCTTGCTATTTTATCATCAGTGTTTTTATCATGAGTGTCCTTCATTTCATTTAAAGGAGGCAGGAATTCAAGTTTATAATGCAACATAAAAATAGATTATTGTGATTGCTGCACGTATGTAAGGATGCTCAAAGGATTAGAAATCACTACATGTCGTTGTGGTGTAATAAAACATTGTTAGCAATAATGTCAAGTGTTTGTAATTTGCATACTACTTTATAAAAAGCCTTTATTGATAATTTAGAAATCACTTACCACTCATTTAAAGGATAAAGACTAGTCAAAGGGATTTCCTACAGCCCGAGAGCCCATAATTTGTTACCATTAGTGGTTTATAATGGATCTATAATGCATTAGAGATTTATTGACCATTAATGAAGCTTTCAGTTCATGCTTTTTAAAGTGTGCCTTATCATAGAGTGGGATTTTTATTTACAGTTTATAAACTAACACATGGGAAACCACTGTTGTGCTTTTAAAAACACTCAATCTCAGTAGTACAATTTATCACATGTTCACTACTTTGGCTTCCAGGTATTTGAATCGGTCGACACAGTGGATCAGGCTGAGAGTGAGTCCAGAGCTGACAAAGAAGCACAGCACAGAGGTGCAGGCAAGGCCATCGGAAATGGAACCACAGACAAGCAACAACTTCCCTCCACCGACCCTGCCTCCAACGATCTGTCAAACCAACGTCCAGATTCAGACAGCTGTCACCCTGTAACTGAGTCTGCTGTTTCTCAGCAAACAGCAGAAAACTTAGAAGTCTGCAGTGAGGAACCTACAGCTGAGTCACAGCCTGTAAAGATTCAGCTCACAACATGTGAATCAGGAGGGGAGGATGTAAAGGACCCTGCAGCCGAGAGTGAGGCTGATGCACAAAAGAGGGAGACGGTTTTAGAAAGCATAGTGGTTCAGGAGACAAAGAAATCTGAAGCTGAGCAAAAAGCTGAAGTAGAGGAAAAAGATCAAACGAAGCACGGGCTGTCAGGAGCTTCAAAAGCCACTGACACAGATATTAATTTGAAAGAGAATACTAATGTTCTAAAGCTGGAAACAGAGATTCATAATGAATATTTCCAAGCACCTCCGCTTGGGCAGACTTTAAGTCTTCAGCCACACAAGAGCAAAAGTCTGGAAGTTGAGTCATCTTGTCCGCCTGTAGCAGAAAAAGATGCAAATCCGCTAAATGAAAAAAAGCCAGAGATTTCTAAGAAAAACGAAATCCCATTAAAAGTGATCAAGGCCTCAAACACAGACGCAGAAACAAAGGATGTCGAAGCAGCTGTCTGCGACTTTGTTGAAACCAAAAAAGCTACAGAGATTTCATTCGAGAAACCTGGTTCAAATTCTCCAGTCAGACAAGTGCTGAATGCTCTTCAATCAGCATCGCTTTCGTTGTCGTCTCAGTCCCGGCAGTCTCCAGACACAGCCGATTCGGATGACTCTCCTTCTGCGCTGGAAATGGAGGACATTCCTGCAGGGATAACATACGTGACCTCAGAGGACATCAAAACCAGGCCTTTGGCAGGGCTTGCTGCGCCCCCTGTCTCCCTGGCACAAAGAGAGAAAATGGCATCTGAGGATCTTGCCCTAGATCACCATCTGGACACAGCTTGTAATACCAGTCCTGAGGGCACAGATCTGGGCCTTTCAGAAGAGGAGCCCGAGATAGACAATGTGCTCACTGAACCAGAATCTGCAGAGGTGGGAGGAGTCACCAAATATGATGAGTCCTCAGAGGAGCAAACCTATTCTGTAAGTGTTACACACGGCAAACAGAACTTCAAAGGAAGTCTTTTAATCGTTATCATACAGTAACTGACTTCAGCATTGTTATTATTCCTGCAGCAAGAAACAATGGATATGTACTTGATCAATTTGCATCGTATTGACAAAGATGTCAGACGTTGTGATAGAACGTATTGGTACTTCACCACTGAGAATCTGGAGAAGCTGCGTAACATAATGTGCAGGTAAATGAATAATCTATATCCAATAATCTATATATGAGGTTTATTTTAATGCACAAGGTTGAAACACAAAAAATTTCTATTTCTATTTGCAGTTACGTCTGGCAGCATCTGGATGTCGGTTATGTGCAGGGCATGTGTGATCTGCTCGCTCCTCTGTTAGTTATCCTGGATGATGGTTGGTAAAACCTTTTAGTACAATGTGTTTTTTACAGATGTGGGTTTTGCAGAGCTTCACATAATTTACTAGAGGAACAACTCGTAAATGTGTTTGGGGCTTTCCAGAGATCATGGCGTTCAGCTGCTTCACTGAACTGATGAAGAGAATGAACCAGAATTTTCCTCATGGGGGTGCCATGGACTCTCACTTTGCCAATATGCGCTCACTTATCCAGGTAAGTGGACATTTTTCCACACATACAATCATATAAACATTTTATAAACAGTGTAATTTTGCTGAATGGTTAAGCCTACTAAGATTGTTACAGCTTGCTGCTGATACTTAAATGTAGGCACACAAGAAGAGGTTTTCCTCACTGTCAGAGAGTAGAATAATTCTGTATACATCCTACATACGTACTTTAAGGTTATAACATCTACATCGGTCCACCTACGTCTACAAGCAGGCCAACAGATTTTATACAGTACACAATCACTGTTGATTTTTCAAATCAATTAGCTAAATCTGATCACAGAGTGTGGCCGTGTAGTGCTACTTCTATCAGCAGTCACATTATCAGTAAACACTAGTAAAGACTTTTTAGTGTAACCAGCGGTTTGCACCTTGATTTAAAGCCTCTGTATTTACATTCAGTGTATTTTGATTGCAAAGTGTTTTTGTCTCATGCTTTCAGTCATATGTTTTTGTTTAACTTCAAATACTTTGCTGTAAGATGAATAGGTTAAATTATAAGTTGTATCATTGTCCATATACTCATTGACACTGTGTGTTTTAATTTAATTATGTTATAGTTTTGGAACCTTGGATCACAGCATTTGCAGATATGAAAAAGACTTGTTTGATTTCTAACCTATTGTACCTGTTATGAGCTATGGTGAAAATACCAATATGCTTAAAACACATTTTCCATATTAATGAATTTACCAAATATGTTTATTTCATACAGTATAGTAAAATAGAAATTAATACACATGATATATGGGTTGTAATAGTGTCTTATTATGAAGTAAAAATGTTTGTGTTCCCTTGTCTGTAGTGAATATAAGTTGTATTTATTTCTACCACTTAGTTAGACTACCCACAATATAAGTGATTTCTCTGTTCCCCTTTATTACCCAGTTATTTCTTTGTTCCTTATTGCTGTATTTTCTTCCAGCAGCAGGGATCCAGTAGTGTAGTATGGGCTGAATTATAACAACAAATGCATGCATACAGGCGTAGGATAATGATAACATTATATTGTTCTTACATATCACAGATCCTGGACTCTGAGCTGTTTGAACTGATGCAACAGAATGGAGACTATACCCACTTCTACTTCTGTTATCGCTGGTTTCTTCTTGACTTCAAGAGAGGTGATGCGAAACGCAGGCCTCATATTGTTTGCTTGAATCGACCGTGACTTTCTCGTGACAGCGAATATAATCTGATTTGTTGGTCTTTTCTGAACAGAAATGGTCTACGATGATGTGTTCTCTGTGTGGGAAACCATCTGGGCAGCCAAGCACACCTCCTCTGAGCACTTTGTGCTCTTCATTGCTCTGGCACTTGTGGAGATGTATCGAGACATCATCCTGGAAAATAACATGGACTTTACAGACATCATCAAGTTCTTTAATGGTAAGAAAAGCGAGTGAAGCAATGCTAAAGGAAAAACAATCAAGTTTACCAGTATTCACTTGTAATCAATGTTACATTAAAATAACTAAGCAGCTGGTTAAAGCGAAGTGCAGAGATTTCTATAAAAATCTGTTTTTTATTTTGTGACTTTTATTGTGAAATATCAGTATTTACTGAATATTAAAGGAACGCTAAATCTTTAAATATTATCAGTGTTCATAATTGTATCTGTAATTTTTTTCTAAATATATTTTATCTTCTCAGAAATGGCCGAGAGACACAACGTCCCCCAGGTCTTGATGATGGCCCGAGACTTGGTCCACAAAGTGCAGACGCTCATAGAAAACAAGTGATGCAGGATGCTGCTGGTTAACACCCACAATTCTTTTGTGCTAACCTGTCTCAGAGATAACAACCGAACCACGTTATTGTCGTATATTCCACAGAAAAGGAAATGATGTAAATGAAAAGTGCCGACAAGATAACCGATCATTAAAGCTGCTTGTTATTCAAAGGTAGTTGTAAAACAACTTCTCACCACTTGTTCTCACCTCTCTGTTTTTGGGAGATGCAGTTATTGCCAGTAAAGTTATTTTTAAAAGTGTTTTTGGTCACTTAGTGAATGTACCCTTGTTGAATCTGCTTCAGGATGTTGTTTATTTTGCCTTAAAATTTGCTATTTTTTCAGGGATACAGCAACCAAATTCTTCACTGCATTGATATTCTCCCTAATGCGTTCGGTTAAGTTATGCATCTTGTATACACTTAAATATATTTTCAGTATTGTCATTTACTTAGCTGAAATTGTAGCTGCCATGGTTAAACATTTTGTGATACACTTGAATAGTTTTTTTTTCAGTGATGTACCTGGCGTCACGGGATGATTTGCAAACGTTGCAGGGTTCTACCGGCTGGCTTATCTGATGTTAAATAGGTGTTTGCCTCTGATGCACACAAGATTGCAGGATATGCAGACCTGGATTCTGTGTAGCACCTCGTAATTGCACATAGTTTCCATATACTGTATCACAATTTCCTCTTTCAGCTGGTCACGCTCTCATAGTCTCCTCTCCTGTCTCCCACCTCCTCTATGCATTAGTTAAAATGATTTAACTGTTGTCTCTTATCCCAGTTAGTATTCCTCCTGCATGCTGTCATTGAAAACCTCCTTCTTCTTCCCTTAAACTACACAGTGCTGCTCAGGCTGAACACGTCAGCTATCGTTTTCATAAAATCAAAGGATAAAGACTGGTTAAAGGGATTTCCCACAGTCAGAGGTTTCTTCCTGTTAAAAGGGAGTTTTTCCCTCTCACTGTCTTTCTTTAATTTACAATGTAAAGTACGTTGAGGCAACTGGTGTTGTGGTTTGGCGCTACAGTATATGAATTGGATTGAATTGAAAGCAGCACAGCTTTACCAGATTTAGCTTCCATGCGATATAGAGAGTCGTGGTCGTAATGTTTCTGCTGGTGGTTATTTCAAAGAGGTAGTTAGCTGGTGGCAGTTTGTGCTTCCTTCACATGCTGCACTTCCCTTTTTCACTTTCACTCTTAAACTCTGTCTCGCCCTGATGAACTTGGTTGTCATGGCTTTAAAGCGCGTCAAATTGTTTCTGTATGCCAAAAACCCCCAAAGGCAGCGAATAGTTTAATATTTCCCGGACATTTCTCTTCATTATTGTCACTATTTCACTGCTGCTCAGAATGTCAGAGCTCTAACTTCAGCTATGAGGAAAGTGCGATCTTGATGATAAGCTTTTTACTTTTAAATGAATGGTAGCTGGTCAGTGGTATGTAGCCATGTAGATAATGATGATTTTGTCAGTTCATTTTTTTGCTGCAGTCATAGTGGATTTCATTTGTTTAGCCTTAAGACAAGAAATGATTAAGAGCTCGGGAGTATACGTGTAAAGGTGAATATCTTAAGATCTCGGCAGATAAACACAAGATACGGTACTCTATATAGCTCGATACCGAGAGAGGCAAGTCAGAAAATATGATTTATTGGTGCCACTTACAGTTACAAAATAGCCAAAACACACACGTCTGTTTCACTGTGGCTTAAATTCCAGTGTTTTAATATCACTGCTAATGTGTCTACATATGATCTTGCCTGAGTATTGCTGTTTGTGTATTGCTGTTTGTTGTCAGAAGATTTACAGTATACAATGTGTTAAGAAGAAACTGACTTACTTTACAAAAAAAAACAACCCCTAAGCTAGTACTTATTTATTAAATGCAATACAATGTCTGTATATGGGCCTGGTCTGATTATAATGAAGCAAAAGCTAAAAGTATGCCAATGGAAATAAATATATTTTTATTTTTTCTGTCTTCTAAAATGGTCACTGAGTATACTTAATTTATTGTGTATTAAAAATCTTATATTTTGCATTTAAGGTGCCCTGCGTGTTCTTTCTGGTTAAAAGAGCTTTGATCTTCAGATTATCTTGTGTAAAATTGTTTGTAATAATAACCACTTTAGATCGTATTTTTGATCCTGATTCTTTGTTCTGGTGCCTTATTTGCGTGTCTGAAATAGGGTCAGTTTGTTTCAAGTCTGCCTAAAAACAACACCCAGATGCTTACAGGTAGTAGGCATAGCTTCAGGAGTCTAGTGGAGTACACGACTCAAACTCAGCCGTCAGCAAAAGGGGGGCCGACATGACTGATCAGTGTATCTATTGATTGTAGATCTTGACAATGCCACGCCTGCCTTGCCACGAATTTTCTTGACTTATTTAAATGTTGTTTTTCTCATCTAGGGAAATAATTCTATCATCATGTACTTCTGTTGGCTTCTTGCTGAGCTAGTCAGCACATTCCTTCTTTATAAGAGTGTACCGGATGGTTTGGCCAGTCCTAATGCTTTTGCTATCTCTCTGATAAATTTGTTTGAGTTAAAACTCAGATAATTGGATGGAACCGTAGTTTGCTCACCTCAATGGACCCAGCACTGACGTCCTAGATGGAGGAAGGTAATAAAGCTCTTTAGGTAAAGTCAGAACAGCTGCTCAACTACCCAACTTAAAACTGTCACGTAATCCTTGGAGAAGAAAAGATGGCACTGGGATTTTTTTTATATGTATGTTAAGCTGCGTTAGAGGTCCAGCGTGCTCCATTAAACCAAACTATTTCAATATCAGCATTGATTTAGTCATTGGAAGCACAGGTCTAATAAAGTAACCTCAGGAATAATCATATTATTGCATACCTTTTTTTTATTTAAAGGTTATTCAAAGGTTATCACCCTAACTAATCGACTAAGCAAATAGACTACTGGCATAGATGTGACTGGGAATAAAACCGCAAGAAAAAAGGAATAGTTGTCCTTTGTGTCTTTTTCATGTTATCCAGTTCATTATTCTAGTTTGGGCAGAAGCTGAATAGACAATTTTTCAACTTTGAACTGTTGATTTCTTGGAATCTACTCCATATTTTTTTTTCTATATAAATTATTACTGCAGATTAAAGAAGGGAAATGTCTTCACTTTAAGTACAGAAAAAAAATGGAAAAGAAACTGTCACAGTAAAAGTTTGCATTTTATTGGTAAAGAAAAAAACCCAAAAACGATAGAGATGCATACAAATTATAATCTACATTTAGACCACCTCGGTCAGCGGCCTACACGTACAAAGAAAAACCCGAAAACAAACCCAAAGGACAATTAAGTCTCACAGTCAACGTGTTACACTAAAAGGGTTCACTAATTTTACTATACTGATTAGTTTTATGGGTTCTTGGTTTGGCCAAACAGAAAACGCACCCTTTCATACTTAAAGCTACTAAGATGTGACACATGAAAAATAAAATTACGTCAATTCAAGAAGCAGGACTGCAGAAATGTGTACTTTGTTTTAAATGTTTGACATCGCACTCCCGAATTTCTTTATAAAAGAAACCTCCAATATGTTACATAATGGTCAAATGGTTATCTCACAAAAAGTTAACACATAATTCTGTTTCCGGATAACGTATGGGTGTTTAACAAACAAAAAAACTCCCCCAAAAAACAAGACTGTGGGGAGGAGCAGGTTGTTCAGGGGTTCCTGACCATGGAATGTTTTTAATCAAGAAATAAAAATGGTGTGTGCTATGAGGAGGCCTGAGGTTTTTAAAAAACAAAACAAAAACAAAATAAAATAAAATGTAGAATTACAAAAACAAACCACAAAAAAATAATCATCCAATTCCTCTAAATGATGCGACTTTCTACCGATAATGACGAGGTGGTGGGCTGTGGTGTGGCGGAAGGTGTCTTCTCGGAGGTGGGCTATGCCGTGACATAGCATGGCGTGGGGGCGACTGGTAGCGCGCAGGGGGAGATCTTCTGTTATAGTAAGGAGAATAGCGACCTCTGGATCTGGAACGGGATCGTGATCGATCCCAGTTGGGAGTACCTCTTTCCTCATACACACGGATATAAGCCGTCTCCCCCTAACAAGAAATAACGAAAGAATTACACGACATCAGCTGCAGTTTACCATCAGAGGAACGATTAAATCTCACCATCACTAACACTAACCTGATGTGAACGGAACTCTGTCCCATCCAATCTACGCAGTGCATACTCCATGTCCTCTCTACGAAGAAATTCCACTACACCCTCTCCGTCACGCTGCACATCTGCAAAACAGACATCTCCTGCTTCCCGCATGTGATCCTTCAGATCCTGCCAGCTTCCAGATGGTGGCAGTCCTGGAACAGGAAATGACTAAATGATGGTGTGGACAAAATATACTTCCCTGCTTAAATTTACCTGACACTTTAAACCTAAAATCTTAGCAGGAAAGGGTTTCATTATTTCTCCAAAGTGCAACTCTTTCTTTAATTCATTATTTGTATACAGTCTGACCTTTACACCTCTTGAAACCTAAAGAAGATGGAGAAGTGGAAGACTTTGCATTTCCCCTGCCTTTAAATTGCTAAAAATGCCAGGAATGACACAACCTGGTTAATGTTAAAACACTATAAAGCTAAGACCTGGATTTGTGGTCTGTCTAAGGTGTTACCTATTCAGCACCAAGTGTTAATTTACACTGTCTTTAATCATTAACACTTTCCATGCACAGCAGTTACTTATTAATGCCAAACCCACAGTTGAAAATACTGAGATGGTCAATCATCCTTATAACCAGTAGGAAAAAACTAATTGACTTTTTCAAGTCTCCTGACTGATAAGTCCACCCACTTCTCCACCCAGTGTTTTAGGTGAACTACAGAAACATTTGACAAAGCACATAACATAATTAATGATACACAATGACAAAATGACACCTACCATCACTATAGCCGGTGTTTGGGGTTACTCAGCCAACATGACCGGTTTCACTTTACTGTTTTGATTTTCATGACCTCATCCACTTAGTCCCTTTGACTTCCAATCCGCCATGAGAGAGAGAAACATATCTGCCTATGACTCATGACGTCCTCAACTAGTCCCCTTGTCCTCCAGTCCGCCATGAGAAAGAGAGAATGATCTGCCTACGACTCATGACGTCCAGCTACCAGTCCCCTTGTTCTCCAGTCCGGCATGCGAATGGGAGAAAGTTATCTGCCTAAGACTCCTATGTCCACTTTCCTACCAGTCCCCTTGATTTCCAGGCCGTACCGAATGAGAGAGTAATATTAATTGGCTACGACTCATGGCGTCCACCTACCAGACACTATGACCCGGAATTCAGATCTTCGAGTTGGGGGTCCAAACCTTCCTCTAGGTGCTCCTCCACCACCTCCCATTGGGCCAGGTTTAGAACGGGGATACTCCACACGCAGCTTGGAGTCCCCATATCCATATCCATTCCTTCCATAGACCGCATCATCTGCATCCCTAAGAGAAGAGAGCAAAGAACTCCTTACCAAAGTACGCGTAGCGGACAAAGGTTGGATATCTTGTCTCCATCCATTCCCTGCCGGCAGTCACTGGAGACGATATACCACAAAATTTATGGTGTCCAACAAGGAGGAGTGTGATTCGAGTTGCCAAAAACCATCCGCAAAACTCACCGTGGGTCTTCAAATCGGACGAAGGCAAAAGGGATAGTGCCTCTATTGTTCTTCAATTCTATTTCACGAATTTTTCCATATTTGTAGAAGAGATCCTCAATGTCTCTCTCCTGGACATCCATGGGAAGATTCCCCACATAGATCCGGCCATCAGACATGTTGGCTGAGTAGGCGACACTGCTGACACAAAAGAAGGGGGGCACCTGCAGACTTTTAGAGATCACTTCTTGCTTTCACAAATAGCTGTGGAAGTGGTCCTTAATCATATTCCTAGTCCCAATCCAAAACTTAGTCCATCCGCAGACAATTCCTTAATTTACACAAGAATAAAGCTTTAAAGAAGGGATGAAGCCGTGATAGAAGTAAATGATGGGCTCAAGGAAAAGAAAAATGGCACAGGACTTCGGATCCAAGCCTGAAAACTTTAAAAACACAGTGTAATGAATGTCCAACCATTTCAGTGATTACAGATCTGTTCTCTTTAAAGTGAGATTATAAGCATACTGTGGGGAAAAATGTAAAAAGGTACTAACAATTACCTGTGTGTAAACGGTAAATGAACTGATGATTACGTGTTTTTCTACTCTGCTTTTTACTGCAAAAACAATCTTTTCTATGCCTTTAACCTTTTTGTTTTGTTTTATGTGGATTAAGCTAGCATGCAATTCTGTGTGTACTAAAAAAATTTATTTTGCAAAACCTTTTAAAAAATGTCTTTATATTTTTCCTTGGAAAATAGGAAATATGTGCCAACCTAAATGGAAATTTAAAAACCATATACAAGGCAAAAATGTCTGTAGAATTCTAATGACCTTGAAAGTCAATATTTGATATGACCAAATTGATTCTTGAACACAGCCTGAACTCTCTGAGGGATGTTTTCTTAAAGTAGTCTTCAGGAATAGTTCTCTAGGCTTCTTGAAGGACACTCAAAGCTCTTCTTTGGATGTTGGCTGCTATTTATTCCATTCTCTGTGAAGATGATCCCATACTTCTTCAATAATGTTGAAGTCCAGGCTCTGGAGAGGCCACTGTGTTTTTCTGTCCAGGTATGTTTTTACTGCATTGGCAGTGTGTTTGTTATCAGTGTCATGCTCAAAAATAAAGCCGCTAACAATCAGCTGTTTTCTGATTTTACGTTATTTTCCGTGCTTATCATTTCACAAATTTTTCAAAGAACTCCAGCCAACACCACTGGCTGAAATACAGCTGCAAACCATGACAGAGCCTCCACTATGTTTTACAGATGGCTACAGACACTTACTGTTGATGTACTGTGACATCCTCCTTTCAACCAAAAACTTCAAATTTGGATTCCTCGCTCCAGAAGACCTGTTCCTACTGATTTTTAATCCAGTCCTTGTGTAATTTGACATACCTCAAACTCTTTCTCCCCTCTTTCTCTTTCCCCCTGTATAAGAATGGCTTCTTAACAGCCATCCTTCCACTGAGACCATTTCTGTTGAACCTTCAGTGAACAATACATGGATCACCTGAACACCAGTGTCAAAAAGACAATTTTAAACTGCTTCTTTGTTAAGTGTATTGTTATCCATAGACATAACACTATTCAAAGAAAAACACTGACTTTCAGAAAACCTGGAGGACTATTTCTCAAGACCACTTTAAAAATTACAAGGAAGTCTAGCTCAAAGCAAAATATAAAGAAATGATGAGCAGCGCAACACTTTCTTATATTTCTACTTGTAAAAAAGGGAGCCAATAATATGAAAATTGTTTGACGCTTAGTTGGGAGGGCACACCTCCAAAGCAGCACAACAATATGGAAAACATAAGAAAACTGTTCCAGCTAAATGCAGCTCAGCGACTACAACCATGCTATGAAGGTACGTGACAAAGACACATATAGAGCACTCACTAGTTGCAAAATAAATGGTGGATGAAACTAGTTAAAAAGCTCTGTTTCTATTTTATTAGGTTACAACACTCCAAAGGGTCCTGATGAGCAGTTGTGCTATCTTTTCACTTCAACTTTCTCAGGAAAGCACCACGCCACCGGCTGTTGGTCTTACATTTGACATATACTGTGTAACAACTAGTCTATTGCAGTGCTGCTGCTGGCACCTTGTGGCAATAGACACACAGTTTGAATCATGTAGTCCGCGATCTATGACGGCAGCTCACTGGAAAAAGGCTAAAAATTCAGATTGTTGCTTTTACACCAATAAGTGCTGTATTTTTGCCCATACTATCACAAACATAATTATTACAAAATTACTTTGAAATATCGCAATATTATCATGAGACTGTCGCCGTCCAATGTGCATTATTCCAGACTGACACTACTATTACATTTTTCTGTAAACTCAAAGACATTTAGGCTGGTGATTTTAAACGCTGCCGCAACAAATTTATATACAAACCCAGCATATTGAAACAAAATGTAATATTCATAAAAACGGTGTTTTGGTGGCTGTCATACAGCTGCTAACAGGTGTTTTCCGTACCCTATACGTTTACCTGGACTTGAAGGCGTTTCCGGGGCCTTGAAAACCCCGTTTAATCGAGCAGTTGCTGAACCTACCAAACCTGTTTAACGTCCCATAGCTGAACAACTGCGATCTGACCTCAATTTAATCTAAAATTCGAGAGCTCCTGGTTAGCATTACCGCTTAGACACTACAGTCCAGATTCCTTCCAGCCATTCAAATTTGGCTTTGCCCTAAAATATCACAGTGGCTACTGCTAAAGTAGTCATAGCTATTGTTAGCAACAGGCGGCTGTAAACGAGGGGTTGCTTATATTAATAGCAGTTCAGGTATTTTCCTTTCTTTCTTTCTTTCTTTTTAAGTCTTGTAACACGGCCTCTTCAGTCGACCCATTCAACTTGACCTTTATATCTAGAAACTAACCCCTAGCTTATAATTTGCACACCAGCAATTGCGAAACCAGCGCAGTCCCTTTGTTGGTAACGTAAGGTCGATCAGCGAGTCAAGCTAAAAAGACTCTGGGTCGGCTACAATTTGTTAATATTTATCGCTTTCAGAGAGCGCATAATAAATGCATATGGTAAAAAAACAAACTTAAATTAATAAATGTCTCTGATTACCTTTTAGAGCAGGTAAATGTGCCTGTTTGTAGAATTAATGCAACCAGTTAGCACACTCTGCTGCTTCCGCGTAAGTTAGCACATTTACGGGAGATGGCTGCGTTCTTCTTCTACAGCTTTACATTTCCGGTAGACAGTAGCCACTGTTACATCATTGCTGCCCCCTGCTGCTGGGAGAAGTTGTAGTGACGATCAGTGAGCAGGAGCCGAGCGTTACAATGATGTTTGCTTTGAGAGGGTTGTTGGAGCAGTAGAGAGAAGATTAGAAGAACACGTGCGCGGTGTCTTTGTGGACCTAGAGGAAATATATGATAGAGTGCCAAGACAGGAGTTGTGGTAGTACACAGGAAGTCAAGAGTGGCAGAAAAAATATATATGTGAATATGCACTTGACTTTAAAGTTGGTCTGAGACTTACTAAAACAAACAAACAAACAAACAAACAAGAAAAGGAAAATAAAATAAACAATTTTCCCCTAACCTTAATTTTGAGTTATAAAGTCAAGTTTTGAGATGACCAAAAAAAACAAAAAACAAATAAGCTTTTATACGAAACTGAGAGGGACTAAAATTGAGAACACTGACTCCTTTATTTTGTAACACAAACTAGTTCTCATTTCTATCCTCTGAATTAAAAGTTCATTATTAATTTAATTTTAATAGAGAGAGAGAGAGAATATCAACTTAAAATCTAGAAAAATTTTCACATTACATAAAAGCTATAAACTGATTTGCACATCATAGAGTGAAATAAGTATTTGATCTTCAAGAAAACACAAGTACCTGGTGGTGTTGCTAAGCAAGGAGATAAAGCGTTTCTTATAGC